TAAAGCAGTGCCTACATTACTAGTGAAGTAAGTAAAGCAGTGCCTACATTACTAGTGAAGTAAGTAAAGCAGTGCCGACATTACTAGTGAAGTAAAGCAGTGCCGACATTACTAGTGAAGTAAATCAAGCCGTACAGACTTTACTCACAGATGAGTGCATGCGGCAGACACTCAAGTCTTTCTCAGGAAGACGAAGATAAAGAATGCGAGGCTGCAGCGTGCGATTAACTGCAGTAATGCCTTCGATGAACAAGGACTGCTGCACTGAGTGCCTATACACTTGTGTTGAACTCATCATATTTGTTAAACTTTTCCTGCTCGTTGAACTCATCCTATTTGTTGAACTCGACTTATGTTTAGAAATATTATTTTCGCATTTGTAAAAATCTTCGTATATGTTGGACTGTTGTTGTTGTAATTGCCCATCCTGGTAGTGGCGAATAGGGAAGGGGTGATAGGTCAGTTTTTTCGGGCACTCGGTACCACTGGTAGTTCTACGACCATCACTGGCTCGCTGACCCGCCATAACCATTTTGTTGCATTACACAACACCATGGACAAGCCAGGTACTCATTTATCAACCAGAGTTGGATGAATGGCTGAGTTGACCATGAGCTGAGCTTCCCGGCAGAACTTGTCCTCAGTGGGACTCGAACCCGGGAGCTGCGTGCGAGAGACTGAGTCTCTCACCACTGCACCACCACAGCTCATCATATATGTTGAACTAATCAAATGTGTTGAATTCTTCCTATTTATCGTACTTGTTGAACTCACCATTCGTGTTCAACTTATCAAAGTGTTTAAATAATCATACGTGCTGAAATTATCCACGTGTTGAACTTATTGGACGGGTATGAACTTACCAATGTGTTGAACTCATCAGGCGTGTTGAACTCATCAGACGTGTTGAACTCATTATGCGTGTTGAACTCATCAGAAGTGTTGAACTCAGCAGATGTGTTGAACTCAGCAGATGTGTTGAACTCATCAGAAGTGTTGAACTCATCAGAAGTGTTGAACTCAGCAGATGTGTTGAACTCAGCAGATGTGTTGAACTCATCATGCGTGTTGAACTCATCAGATGTGTTGAACTCATCATGCGTGTTGAACTCATCATGCGTGTTGAACTCATCATGCGTGTTGAACTCATCAGAAGTGTTGAACTCGTCAGATGTGTTGAACTCATCAGGCGTGTTGAACTCATCATGCATGTTGAACTCATCAGAAGTGTTGAACTCATCAGATGTGTTGAACTCATCAGATGTGTTGAACTCATCATGCGTGTTTAACTCATCATGCGTGTTGAACTCATCATGCGTGTTGAACTCATCAGACGTGNAAAGTCCACATTTTTGTAACTGAGCACAAATTGGAAGTAAGTAACTTGAATTTAAACTATTTTTTAGCATTGTCAGCGTTGAGTAGACCATTAGACCTGTCGTCGATTGTAAACATCACAACATTTTCAGAGCTTGTTGCGAGTCTCGAAGATGTAATTCACCGCTCGAATTCTGCACTTGCTAACCGCCCGGTCACCTTGCTGATTTGGCGACCACAGTCACAGATAGTGTCTTCTTCGAACCCAAAACTCACTGCGCCAATTTGGTACACTGAACTGTAATCACTAGGCCACCCTGCCTCATACGAGCAGAGGCGATGCGATTTTGTTCAAAGAGTTCAGCTGGCGCGTCAGGTGTTGTGGAGGAAACTCAGTTCGTTTCTGTGAAGAAGCTTGAACAGCGAGACGCCCGTACCCTACAAATGGACTCGGATCCAAGGCATCTGAAAACAAACTTACTCGCCAATTTTTTCGTCTAAAAAAAATTAGAACGTTCATTGAATATATTCGTCGCGCTAGAATTCGATATTGATTATATTTTTGATAAGTTGCAATTATACCATGAAGCTCTCCCTAGTTAATCATTCAGTAATGTTTGCAGAACCATCAAGCCAAACCTGCATTGAGCGATGTATTTGTGGGTGGGATGAATTTTATTACTGATCGAAGTATCTATTTTTTCGCGAAGTCTCTCGCAAAGAAAGCGAAAATTCTCACTAACAATAATGCACTTCATTGGATCATTAAAAAATCAGTTAACGATGACACATATAATCATTATAAGATGGTTTTAACACCATTCAAGCACCACGTAGCTTCTGTTAGTCTCAGAATTTTTTTTTTGTTTCAGGGACACGCACACCTTATCAGATGCGCATCAAAAGCCATGTGGTGATCCCGAGTGGGCAATCGAAAGCAGTAGCACTCCTCCTCAATCAGCCTTCACAGTGGATGTATTTTCTGGTCGATGGGATACCAGACGAGAATACAAAATACACGACTCAGTATACAGAGGACCTCGATACCCGACTTTGGCCAGAGAATCTCAAGTAACCCTCGCTACTCAATCATCGGTTGATCGTCTCTTCTGGCTTGTTCAAGTGGCGCGACATTGGCTTGGGCCCATCTCCATTGCTGTCTTTACCCCCGACGTTGAATTTGGGATAGCAAAAGAGTATTTGAAATACCTTATATCTTGCTTTCCATATGTTGGGGACAAAATAATCATACACTTTGCGTATCCGAAAGACAGACCGCCTCGCCCACTTGACGCTGAGAGCAGCGGTGATTTCCTGGCCTTGTGCCACGAGCCTGTCACTGTCCTCAAGAACCTCCTCGGGCAACGGTCCAAGCAAGTACGGAAATTTTATCTGATTCGCTTTGCTCGGGTTAGTAAATCAGAGATAAGTTTGAAGCTCAAGCTTTTTGTGTGCTTTGAATTCGATACATACCGAAATAGTTTTCAAAATCAATACGAATCATTTCGACGGAGATGACAGGCAAAAAGAAGGACAATTGCCACGGTCTTTCATTACGCGAACAATCAGCATGCATAGCAGTCTAAATGCGCACTTGACTTGATAAAGTTTTTCATAACGTTAAAAAAACTTATCATTCATCAACTCAGCTTTAATTGTAATGAGTCAGGGGTTGCCCGACTTTCGTTTCTTTATTAACTGATTTTCTTTGCGCTTTTTCTGGCCATAATTGATTACAGCTCATTTTTAAAATAAACTAAATTCTTGCAGTTATTTTGATGATGTACAGTGCAGTGTACAGCAGAATGACAAAACCATTAGCGTTCACATGGGGGATCCCAAGTGTAACAGCACCGTCGAGCCATGGTCTAAACAATTGTGTAATTTAATCTTTAAAGTTCAGAACCCTCGTAACCTTCTGCCTAAGGCTGCCCTCGAGATTTTCCCCACTGAACCATGTTTGTTCTCCAGATGATGGCGTGGCGGGAAAAGTTGTCGTACCCTCAGAACCTCCTACGCAACGTGGCGCGCCAGAACTGCCACGCTGAGTTCGTCTTCCTCGTCGATGTTGACATCGTCACTCCGCCCGAAATGTTTGAGAAGCTCGATGCCTTCTTAAGAACTTCCACCGTTCAGTCTTGCGATAAGTTAGCAAAGCCAGTAAATTTAAGTTCAAGCTTGATAGAACTATTGTTTTGACTTGTCTTTTGAAAATCTGAGTATCTTGAACGTCTCATTTTGAAGTATAGTGTGAAGGTGGAGCTTGATATGTCAGTTATCATGGCATTGCAGGCAGACCCTCAGAATGCATGGCACTTTAACAGTTGCTTTTTAGATTAAGTTTGTATTTACTTAAAGTCACAAGTGGGATTAGTTTCATGATCCTCGTGCTGATTTTAACATGCATCGATGCTGATGGAGCATTCCTACTACCTATATCCAAATTATGACTGGCCAGCTGCCGGTCATTACATAAATATAATTTTCCCGGGGTTTATTCAAAATGGCGACTCACTAATAAGAATTATGTATTCGTATTATAAGGTTTTTGCAGGGGAGGAAAAATAGAGGGGCATCAGACGTACCCTACTCAGTTCGACGAGGCCTGAGACTGACCGCGACTGATTTCATTTCGATTATAAACCATATTAATTTAGAACAAATCTCCAAACAACGAAGTCTATGATTCGATTGTGTTATTTTTTTAATTTGATTCCAATGTTATTTAATTTTTAACGTTAACCATGGATGCATCTCTTGATCAATCGAATTGAGTATGAGAAGTCAAACAGCCTTAGCCGGTGCATGCTGTGAACCTACCCGATAACCCATTGGAGGAAAGGCTTTTGATCTGGAAGAATTCCTACGCTGAGACCTGCTTTTACATCTGTATAATTAGGTTCATAACAGCCGCTGATTCGAATATGTGAAACTGTTATGGGGTAAGCATGACCAGAAATGGCTTGTACGTGTTGTGTCTACTGCAGATGTGCCTTCGTGATCCCGACGTACGAAATAGACGATAAGGCGCCTCTTCCGAGCAACGTGTCCGACATGCTGGCGCTGGTGCAGGCTGGTCGCGCTCGGCCTTTCCACGAGAAAGTCTTCATCCACAACCAGTTCTCCACGAACTTCTCCTTGTGGGTACCGTCCGTTCTTTGATACCTGCTCTGTTGCAGAGATAACTTCTATACTTCACTGAGTATGGTATGAGAAGCGAGCGGATTTTTTATCCTAGGAAGAATGAAAGGCGTTCAAGTCTGAATGTTGTTACATCTGGGAGGGTAGAGTCTCCATTACCTGTGAACATTAATAGTAAAGTTGAACATTTGAGATATTTGACGTGAATAAATTGCACTAAGATAAAAGTAGAGTAAAATAGAGACTATGTATGTTACGATAACATTGTCGGATAACATTTTCGACGACTAGAGAAGAAAAATCCTTGTTGTGGCGTGGCAAATTTGACAGAAATAGACGGATATTAATGACAGTTTGAAATTTCTAATTTTTTCAGTTAAGAAATGCAAAGAGTAGCTCTCCAAATGAGACGTAAGACTTAATTAGCTGGTGTGAGAAGCGAGAGTTCTGACCTTTAAACATATTAAATTCTGCGAATTAAACATGCATCAGGAATGCGAAATAATATTATCTAATACAACATGAAAAAATTCCAACGATCACAACTTTAGGCACATTAGCAGTACAGACATTTTTTTCATTGAGAAGTACGTACATCACATATGCCGGTTGCCGGGGAATAATCGCAAGGTTATCGAGGCATGGGTTTATGTTTGCGACCAAGCATACGACCATTATGGTACGAGCGTACCCTGATGGAATCTGGATGATGAAAAAAAACATCGTATATTGTACGAGGTCTTGTTTTAATTAAGTTGAAATTGCCTAGGGAGAGTTTAAAAGACCTCACAACAAAATTACATCACATAAGCTTTTCTTTACCATACTGGTAGGCTCAACCTACTGGCTTTTACTCAACCTACTAATGGCTCAACCATACAGGCTTTACTATACTGGAAGGTATAGGTGTATATGTAGGTACCTGGCTCAACCTACTGGTAGACTTTTCTTTACCATACATTGGAGCAGCTCACAGCATTTCCACTCCTGCGTTCAGGTGGCAGGCGAACGTGGGCGAGTGGTTGGATCGCTCGGGCCGGGCTACTGAGTCGCCCGTGTTCATCAGCCACGATGTCACGTTCGAGTTTTTCTACGAGCCTTTCTACGTCGCCAGGGACGCCTGTCCCGCCCACGACGAGCGTTTTGTGGGCTACGGCTTCACCAGAAACACACAAGTACGTCCACTCAGTCCAACTACTTTATCCTAATCCTTCAGAAATCAGTACCTCAAAAACAGCATTTATTATTCATTTCTTTATTTTATTATTTAAAATAAATTTTAATTTTAAACATTTATCCAAATCAGTACCTCAGAAGCTCGCCTCGAACACGAATAAAGCTTGTCAAATGGTGTCAATTTGGTAATACTTTCGTTTTGTTGAAATTTTGCTGCCCTCTAGTCACGGATTTAGTTTAATTTGAAAGTTCGAAAAAAAATTAGGCGAATTTTAGTTGAAATTTCAACTAAAACTTACAAGAAAAACTGAAAGTTTGGGAATTGGAAAAAAGGATAAAAGCAAAACCCAAAATATGCAGATTTCACACTAAAAGGTTCAAATCTGACAAAACGGCCGCATATATTTTGGCTAGACAAATCATATACAAACGACTCTAATTGCTTAATTTTGCCGGAGAAAGAAGCCTGGCAACCTGGTAGAAGTTTCTGCCATCTGAGATGTTGCAAAATTGGTTGTATAAACTTTTCATAGCACTTACATTCTCTGATTAATCTAACTTTCCCATTTTTTGGAGGCCTTCTAGTCCTAGAAAATGTACGAAATATTTTCAAAGCACTCGACAATGATTTAAAGTATTTGACTTGAAATAAATAGCTTACTATTGCTAAAATAACTTCAACGCCCGCACGAGTCAGAAGACGAAATTGTTTTACTTCGAGATAATCTTCGTGTCTGATTCGTACTTTGCAGTATTTCGTTACTCTGTAGAATTTGGAACTCGAGTGTGGAACAAGAGTGCATGTGTGGAACTCCTGAAAATAAAATTGGATTAAATTACGACTTTCAGGTAGCGTTTATGAACGGTAGATTGGTAATGAAATTGAGATCATGTGCAAGTACGAGTATATTGGATTAGAATGGTACCTACATATATTTCTCGATCTAATGGGAACTCGTTCATTATTTAGACTGCTGAATGTTGGGTCGTCATGACCGAATGGTATTGATGTAATTTACAGGATTTGATATTATTGTTGGTGTCCTAAATCTATAGTTTTGCATTCAGACTTCTTTCCTTTTACAGACTTACGAGATGTTGGTGGCAGGGTGGAAATTCAAGGTTTTAGCGCCCATCTTCTCCATACACTGGGGCATGCAGACCAAGAAAGGCAGGCCGAGGTGGCGGGAGACGCAAAATCGAAATAATAGAAAACTCTTCGAAGATTTCAAAAGAGAAATAACTGTCAAGTACAAGAGTGACCCTTTAGGCATGATGAAACCTAAACCCAAGCCTGCCCCATTGTCAAGGAAGAGGGGAAAAACTGCGAGCTGAAACATCCTCGTCTGAACTCCAAGTAACTTTATTGACTTCCCAGTAAATGCTATTAAGTGTTAGTTTCATGTGCTTTTGGTATTGAATTTCATTAACAAATCATGATCAAAAGCAGCGATGTCCTTTAGCTTTAACGATGGGCGTCTAGCAGACGGGTCAAATCTTTTTTATAATATCCCAGTCGTGATCCCTAATTTCCGTAATAAATACATTACTTTCCTTTCTGTTTCTTACTGACAATGGTCAAATATGTCAAGGAATTGTTATTGTTGATAAATCTGATCATACTGTCGTGAACATTGCATGTAAATACCGTCAAATTGACGTAGCTTCTAGTGACAATAAAGAAGTATTATTGTGTATAAAACTGAAGTCATTGGTGCTCATGCACAATCTATGCGAATTAATATGCATGCCTATTGTTAGAATGGGTAATAATAAGAACTGAAAATGCACTTTCGTAAGTTGGATGGAGCTCCTTGTAGAAGATGGTTGACTTTGTTTTTTAAAAATATTACAAAAATACGAGCATTTGAACAACAATGTAGGGTTCGAATCGAATAGCTCTTTCAAACCTGCTTTGCTCCTTTCTGCTAATATTGCAAGACATCTTACTTGGAAAGCAGCTGCAATTTATAATCCAACCATTTTAATTCCCAATTTTTTCCCCTTTTTGTTCGCCAATCTTATTATTTTTCTCTCTAATTTTCTCCCTTTTTACTTCGCAATTTTTTGCCTTTTTACTTCCCAATTTTCTGTCTTTTTTACTACCCAAGTTTTCCTTTTTTACTCCCAATTTTCTCCCTTTTCACTGCCCAATTTTCTACTTTTTGCTCCCCAATTTCCTGCTGTTTACTTCCCTTTTGCTTCCCAACTTTTTGTCATTTTATTCCAAATTTTTCTTCTCTTTTCTTCCAAATTTTTTACTATTTACTATCCAATTATGAGCTGTTTACTTCCCTTTTGCTTCCCAATTTTTTGTCATTTTAATTCACAATTTTTCCTTTTTTTTCTTCCCAATTTTCTCCCTTTTTAATTCCCAAAATTCTCGCTCTTTATTTTACAATTTTCTCCCTTTATACATCCCTTTTACTCCCAAATTTTCGTCTTATTTACTTCCCTCGTTTTCTGCCTTTTTACTTCCAAGTTTCCTACATTTTACTTCCCAATTTTTTCCCTCTTTACTTTCCAATTGGTTGCCTTTTTACTTCTCAATTTTTTTGCTTTTTGAATTCTCAATTTTATCTCTCTTTACTTACAAGTTTTCTGCCTTTTTGCTTCCCAATTTTATGCCTCTTTACTACCTAATTTTCCCAGTTTTTCCTTCCAATTTTCTTCCTTTTTACTTCTCAATTTTCTCCCTCTTAACTTACCCAAATTCCATTTCCGGCCTTCTTACTTGCCTAACAGATAATTACTAGCTGTCCATTAATATAATTTATGATACATTCAATGATCAAAGCTATGTCACGCTGCAATCATACTCAACTAGACGCTCGATCCCCACTCCATGTCCCAGTAATTATGCGTCCCGCTTCACGTGACATTCTCTCTACTTTGGTTTGGTCCGCTTCAGTATGGGGATTGGGACCCCAGTAGATATCGCGACCACGTCCAAGACGAGTGTAATTATTAGAAATATTCGAGCACAAAGATGCTCCCTTTATACATAGAAAATTTTGAAATGGTTCTATGTTAAGTATGGTAGAACTTTAATTAATGCCTTAAAAATCCATAAAATTTGCTACGTCGCCTTGTACTAATTCAACATCAAAATAATATCATAAAATCATGTAAATCTGCATACTCGTAAGAGGTAATGTAAAATTTGGCCTTCTGTGCATATTTGTTCTTTGTAACATAATTTTAGAAATTCCCAGCTTTTTTATGTTTTTGATTGGTTATGACGAAATCGGTTAAAGATTTTATTCCTTTCAAATTATCGCCTCATTATTTGAAAAATTCTCTGCGGAAATTTACGATAGAACAAAATTTATCGAAATTTTGTGCTCTCACCACTTAATTGCAGAGCAGGCAGCGTTCTTATAACTTTTCGAGAGCGATTGCTGAAGTTATATGCATTTTTATATTAATTTCAGATGTAACAAAATATATATTTCCATTGCAGTTACGTTCGCTTGTATGAGCGGTGTTTCAAGCTTCCCGCTTACAAATTAGTACATAATTATTGTTGATCTGAAATATCATCTTGTTTCGAATTTCTAACCTGAGGTTAAATTTCTAAATGAGGTTAAATAACATACGATTGCAGAGCAAGTCAAGGCTTTGTTCATACGTTCCCTATTAGAGTTGAACGACTAATAGGCTTAACGTGCCTGCAATTTACAGAAATTATTTTCATTTTTCGTTTACTCGAACTGAGCGCTGGTTGTAGCTGAAGTCCATCCACGTAATTTTGAGCGTCTCACTTTATTGGCTTAACGACTTTCCTGTGCGCATTATTAAATAATTTGTACAAAAACAATGTATACCTTGATCTTTTAATTTAATTTAACATCTGAAACGCACATGCCTGTATATAGGCTTGAAGTTTTTAACGGAGTTCGTTTTGGGTGAGCGGAGGCGTCCGCAGTAACTCCATACAAAAAAAAAAAAAAAACGAATTTTCGTGCATCCAACTTCAACACTGACTTCTAACTAAGTAGTAATTTAGGTTCTTACAAATTATTTGAGAATCAATGTGCTTCTGAAGAAATATTTGCCAAATCCAATTAAATATTGTTAAACTTTAAGAAGAACTGCGCAAATAAACTTGAATTTACTCTAAAACTTCGCTCATTTTCTCTTCACGTTTACAGTGAACCTTAATTAGCAGTATATAGTTTTAATGAATAAAGTTGAATGGTCTGATTTGTTAATAAATTTTATACAGCTACCATTGAACTAGTGCCATATGTGCTCTTTATTAGAGGGAATGTAATTAGTTGCCTTCTTAATGTGCACAATCTTTCTGTGCTGAGATTCGGTCTTCATGCTTAAATACAATACCTGCAGTAGTCCTCCATCATTTGTGTTCACGATCAGTGAAGAGTAAATCTGAGGCTAAGTCAAAGAAAATGTTCCATGTAAAAATTTCCTCAAGACTTAGTTCGCAGAGAAGAATGAAAACATGATGCTTTATTGTCTTTGATCGATGATTTTAGTTTACAACTTAGCAACCTTTTAGACTTCAAAAAATTTTGTCTAATTATTTTACGTGTCCAAAAGTTGCGTGAATATAACACAATACAAAGTTTTTCTTTACGTGATACGTAGATAGACGTAGTTTGCTCGTTTCCACCTAGTTGCTTATGTTACCAGGGACCGTCAAGCGTATATACCGACATTGGCGCCCCCTTTTTCAGGTAATTATTAAGCAACAAACCGTAAGAACGGAAGTCTTGTATTGTTACCTGAACTAAGCCGCACTGTACAGGAGTGATTTGGAATTCTAATTTAGCACATGAGGTGCAATTTCGTATTTTGACATCCTTAAATTGTACCATAATTTTGTACACTTCTGGCGCAGTTAATACTGAGGAGCTGACGAATTCGTTGTTGATGGCCGAAGTTGTGGATAGGTTGACTTTTCGCTGTTATGACCTAAGCAAACACAGGTGCTTAAGTCATGTATATGCAAACTGCTGCAACTTCTTCACGTTTTATTACGATGTATTAAACTCCATTCACCTAAATATGGTGAGCTCGTTAGTCATCCATGTCGAGAATTATTCCTCAAGGCGACACCGGAAAATTTGGTCTTTGAAATATAGTCAATTAAAGAGACGTTTGAAAATTTCAAGTGGCAATGTGTACAATTATAATCAAAATACCCTGTTTATTGACACTCGCAGTCAAAAACTATTTAGCTATTTTATATTATTAGCCTGGAACGCAGTGGCCCAATCGGGTTAATTTTATCGGTGACTGAACCACCCGCCCTCTAGCTGCCCCAAGTAGAGCTGCTCACTCAGGCCCTCCTGGTCGCTTGACACGCAAGCCCTCGTCAGCAGTCATGAAGTGAACCTGGCAACCGCACGTCGCGGTCCTGACGACGGCGCTGATGCTGCGCGTTCTCTGTCGCCATCACCTGTCAAGTGGCAACTCTCCATCCCCTGTCAAGCAGCAACTCTACATCACCAGTCAAGCAGAAATTCTCTATCACCTGTCAAGCGGCTATTTTCCATCACCTGTCAAGCGGTAGCTCTCGGTCACCTGTCAAGCAGCAACTCTCCGTCATCTGTCCAGCGGCAACTCTCCGTCATCTGTCAAGCGGCATGTCATTGTTATCTGTCAAGCGGTAACTCTCCGTGACTTTTCAAGCGCTAACTGTCAGTCATCTATCGATCGGCATCTCTCCGTCATCTGTCAAGTGGCAACTCTCCGTACTGCAATTCATTCCTGAGGAGTAATGACGTCAGGCATTTCAGTCGACATCATCAAAATCGCTCAAACGTTCACTGGAATGGCATCCGCGTTCAGCAATTAACACTGACAACTAAATGACCAGTGGAATAAGATTGCATCATCCATTCATCATTATTTCTCCCACCTATCGACTGCTCATAATATTTTGCGAGTAATCGTGATGATAATTATCATACCGTTTTTTATACACCACTGACATCAAAACCTGTCATATTCATCATGCGATATTTATGATAAATTAGATATATGTACTTCTTTTCGTCGAGACTTCTGGCCTGCAACACCTCGCTGTCCTGCCACTCTAGTCGGGAATTCGGGCCTGCAACACCTTGCTGTCCTGCCACTCTAGTCGAGAATTCGGGCCTGCAACACCTCGCTGTCCTGCCACTCTCGTCGGGACTTCAAGCCTGCAACACCTCGCTATCCTGCCACTCTAGTCGGGAATTCGGGCCTGCAACACCTAAGTCGAGAATTCGGGCCTACAACACCTCGCTGTCCTGCCACTCTAGTCGAGAATTAGGGCCTACAACACCTCGCTGTCCTGCCACTCTAGTCGAGAATTCGGGCCTACAACACCTCGCTGTCCTGCCACTCTAGTCGAGAATTCGGGCCTACAACACCTCGCTGTCCTGCCACTCTAGTCGCGAATTCAGGCCTGCAACACCTCGCTGTCCTGCCACTCTAGTCGAGAATTAGGGCCTACAACACCTCGCTGTCCTGCCACACAGCCGTGTGTGGCAGGAATCAAACTCGCTGTCTAGTTATATTTCGAGGAATGTTTATCCCAGGCAATGCCGGACCAAGCTGCTACGAAGGCGAGGTAAAACTGGTACAAAAGCAAGATTTAAGAAATCAAATACGATTAAGTAACGTGGACTCTGTATTAGCAGAACACTTCGGTTAAAGCGGGCATCCAGACGGTAACAAATGTGTTGGTCATGAGGGCAGCAAGAGGATAACTGTTTTGTTGAACGGGTTGGACACAACCTCGTACCCGGCCATCTGGAAGTTAAAAACGAGTGCCCGCATGGTTTAAGGAATGGAATAATAGCCGCCATTGGTGTCGGGTATATTTCCTTTCAACTAAAAGATACAAAGGAATCAGTCCCAAAACATAAAATTCAGCAGAAATTGATCGAAATTTATGGACATAACTTTTTCTGAAAAAAGCTGCAGATGAATAAGGAATCAGTTATTTTAAAATTACCAACATTATTAGGGTAGGGCTAGTTAATGCACCAATTAGTCATATTCAGTAAAGTCTGTCAACAAGAACGTAAAACAATTGTTGACACCAACGAAAGATATGGAATTGAATGAACTGAAGTCATCGCAAATTTTGCACGGTTACTGAACTACCTACAGGTAAATTTAATATATTGTACACCAATATAAGAGTGTGTTCTACTGTCAGAAACCGTCGATAAAGACAGTCAGTAAACCTGTGGAGTAATTACAACACAACAACCCTCGGGAGCATGACTGCCACTCGCATAACACCAACGGCTTTCAGCCACTCGTCACGGCCTCAAGAAAAATGATTGCTGATATTCCAACTGTCACCGGCCAGAACTGCTACAAGTTAACTGAACATTATTAAACTATTATTCACTAATGTCAGGGGCAAACACTCGCAGCTCAAAGCCAAGACAATATATAAATTAACTGTGCTCATTTATTAAACCTACAATGCCGTCTATAACTCTCCTTGTCATCAGTCAGTTATAGAATGCCGGTTCAGTACGTATCAATGGATTACAATAAAAAATAAGTACACTTAAACTAAACTTTATTGAACTAACTTTTTGTTAAAAGCGTAATTCCACAAACGTAAAATAGTTTATTATGCAAAATCACTTCACATAGCGAGGCGACGGGTTACGATACCAGTGCCAACGCAGAGTTGGGCATTGGTTATGATTACCTATAGTGCCAACGGCTGCGGTTGGGCTTTGAATAAGATTACGATACCTGGAATCATGAGATTAGAGATTACGCTTAGAGGATAATGTCATTAAATTACTCAATATGTTTCATAACAAAGAGATGCAATGAAACACAAGTCGGCAGTAAGGCAGTGAAGATGAGGCGGTATATAAGCAGAGAACAAAGTAGTCTCCCTCATAACTTTAACCTATTACTGAGTTGTAAAAAAAACGGGACTGCATCTTGTCTATGTCGTTTTCTGGCATAAAAACCCGGAACCACATAAGTAAGTCAAATGTCATAGAGAATATCAAATCACTGCACCTAGTTTATGCAAAAAAAATAATAATTTCATTTCAAAGCAGTTGCCCCTGGACGGATTCATCCTAAAAAATAGTTATGAACTATGATATAGCAGCCCATGAACAAGTGTTCTTAACAATGACTGCTAACGATGTCTTGTGACTGCGTTACTCACAATGACAACTTTAATATCCACTCAATAACCTGAACTTGGTATCACAAATTCTGGAATCATACACAGTAGCGAACGATACAGAAATAAATAGATACAGTATGCCTAATAAGCTATAGCAACTTATTAGGAAGTAACACTGGGTGGGATTGTACGAGCTGCAACACCCCAATCGCTCGAGCTCTGTCTGGGCACTGGTGTGATGACGAGGGAACAGTTTGGAGACTCGCTACATTCATCGATGAATAATGTCGTTGATCTTTGCGATATTTTCCACGCACTTGTTGAGCGCACGCCGGAGTGGGTGAAGATTTTAGGGAAGAATAGATAGGAATTGGAAGACTTTGTGCGTTGAATCTGACGAGCGACGAACGACGTCACAATGTACAAGCAAGATATTGATTTATTTTAACATGTAATGATTCGCTCAACAAATATTTCAGATTTTTTTCACGTTTATCGTGGCATTAAAGTACATCAGTTTTTTCAACAGATATTGTAAATATGCAGTTTATGTTTGCATTAATCGAAGACTGCTGAGCTTGATTAATTTGTGCTCATTTCAATTTAAAGTGACCATGCAGGGAGCTTAAGGTGGGCACTGTTACAGAACAAGTGGTGAAGTGAATTTATTGTTTTAACTGCCAGAAGAATAGGTAGTCAGTAAAGTTAGTAACCGTCAGGCAGTAAACCTGAGGGGTAATTGTAACACAGTTGTAATTGTAACACAGGGGTAATGTAACACATTGGTAACACACAGTAATTGTAACACAGGGGTAAATGTAAAACACTCTGTTTACCAATTACATAACTCCGACTGTCGGCAGTGGGTGCCTTGTGTTAGGTACCCTAAATAGCTTAGTCCTGTTATCGCAAAAGATAAGATGTTCTGCACTTGAATCCTGTATAAAGCTCCATACATTCACCTGCATCTTCACTATTAGGTTAACGTAGCGGTTTCTGATGGCGCCTGGAGAGAAAAGCTGCTGTTCAAGCATGCGTTTTTGACAATATGTTCATCAAACTTGGAGCCTCAAAACGGCTTCTTCTGTTGAATGCTTGCAAAGAAAATGTCTTTTCAAGTCCCATTTTGTGACGCAAGCATAATCACACTCAGAGCACATAATAGGTTTTTCTGTTGAATGCTTGCAAAGAAAATGTCTTTTCAAGTCCCATTTTGTGATGCAAGCATAATCACACTCAGAGCACGTCAAAGGTTTTTTTGTTGAATGCTTGTAAAGAAAATGGGTTTTCAGGTCTCTTTTCGTGGTGCAAGCATAATCACACTTAGAACACTGAATAAGTTTTTCTGTTGAATGCTTGCAAAGAAAATGTCTTTTCAAAACCCATTTTGTGATGCAAGCATAATCACACTCAGAACACTGAATAGGTTTCTCTGCTGAATGTTTGTGAAGAAAATGTTTTTTCAGGTCTCCTTTTGAGGTGCAAGCATAATCACACTTGGAGCACTTTATAGCCTTCTCTGTTGAATGTTTCTGAATTACATGTCTTTTCAAGTCCCCTCTTGTAATGCAAGCATGATCACACTCAGAGCACAGAAAAGGTTTTTTTGTTGAATGCTTGTAAAGAAAATGGGTTTTCAGGTCTCTTTTTGTGGTGCAAGCATAATCACACTTAGAACACTGAATAGGTTTTTCTGTTGAATGTTTGTAAAGAAAATGTCTTTTCAGGTCCCATTTTGTGATGCAAGCATAATCACACTCAGAACACTGAATAGGTTTTTCTGTTGAATGTTTGTAAAGAAAATGGCTTTTTAGGGCTTTTTTTGTGGTGCAAACATAATCACACTCAGAACACTGAATATGTTTTTCTGTTGAATGTTTGTAAAGAAAATGGCTTTTCAAGTTCCATTTTTTAGTGCAAGCATAATCACACTCAGAGCAAGTATATTTCATTGAAGAACGTATAGAATGGCAACGTTTATGGAGTATTTCTTTGCAACCATCAGCATGTTTATTCCGAGAGCTTTTCTGTGCCTTTCTCTGAGGAGACCGCAAGAGAATATGTTGTTCAAGATCAGCATCAGTGGCACATGAATTCAAACCAATCTGGCATTGGCGTTTATTTCTGCACAAATGCTTGGAATGAATATGCTTTTGCATTGATTTTCCTCTGGTACACGATTGTTCACAGTCTGTGAACTTAAATGATATTTCCATTGAAGGCATAGCATTAAAGAGCTGCTGTAGTCCACTACCTGTACTGGAGGTGCGTTTAGAGCAGCTGTTGGGTTCTGAAGCAGGATGTTCTTCATGAATGTGCTGCTGCAGTTGGCCTGCACCTCCAGGCACCAATCTACGCTGGGGACTCCCAAGCCTGATGTGTGGCTTGGAGCTGGAAGCCCCAGAGACGTCAACGCCACTTTCAGCGTCTCTTGATGCCGGTGCTGACTCACCTTCACTAAACTAATGATAAAAATAGAGAGTAAAACAATCTCCTCTCGTATTAGTAACAACCACAGTAAACAGTTGACTTTCAAGTTTGATTAATAGTAAAATACCTTAGTTATTTCCACAGAAATTGAAAATTGCTACAAATATTTTATGAATTAAAGAATTTTCATGCAAACGGCTTGGCATTAATCTCTTTTGAGAAAATAATCAAGTTACAATTACCTTATCTTAACTTAACCCTAATTGCATTAAGCTTGCAGGAAAATTCCCTACATTTCCATCAACCTCCAGAAAAATAGTAACCATAAATTTCACAGCCTCGTCTGTTGAGATACTATTTAACTGAGATCTATTCTTTGTGTCAAATCAATAAAATTTCTCATTTAGCAAACATTGTGTAAACTTTTGGAACTGAGTGGACTGCCATGCGTGTTTTCAGTGAAGTCTGCTACTGTTTGATGCACAATATCAGTGTTCCACAAACTAAGGAGTTGAGAGGTACTCAAGCATTCCACTGCACATGTGAATCTCATTTCATGTAGTTTTTGCATTGGCAAGCAATGAATTGACAGACAATTAGAATGAAAAATTATTGCAATAAACTTTGAGAAATAAACTGCACCTGACATGATCAAAGGCACGTGCATGCATGAATGGCTCTGAATTTCCTCACCATCTGTAACATCAGCATAATATTAAGCTGTCAGAGTTGTTATAAATGGAACTGTCTATGCTTGAGTCCAGAAACTTGCTCATATTATTTTTATAACTTCAAAAATGGTCTCAAGTTCATAGAGAAATAGAAATTTTTAGTCAACTTGCGATTTAAGCAAATAAGTGACATTAATACTTTAAAACTTGAAATGTAGTAAAATACTAAAAGCCCTCGCAGGAACATCATATGGACAAGACAATGAAAGCTTATTACAAGCCAAAAAAAATAATCTATCCTCAAACAATCAAATATCTTCCATATCTGGACCCCTAACTTTCTCCACAAATTCCATTCACCTCAAAGATGTTTAAATACAATCCTGCAAACAGTAACTGGTTACCACAAGACAACAGCCAAACAACCCCTTCACTCTGAATGTCAAATACTTCCTGTCTTACAACGCAACCTCCTTCAATCCCAATGCCTACTGCAATGTCTCCATTCGCAGCACTCTGGCCACCAAATCGCAAACCACCAACTCCACAATATGATACGCACTCTGTATACCAATTACATTAATGCCGTTCTGCCAGTACTCCCATTCAACATTAAAAGCCCTCAAAACAGGCAAAAACACTCCACACCCAAGTGTAAAACTGGTCTGAACATGCACTGGTACTGATCAATGGCTGGCCTCCACTCCTAAAATAGGATAAGTCTTAATATATAATATGATTATTTTCAACTTTAATAAGTTACATGTGCATTCTGCACTTGACAATTTGAACTCAGTAATAAGTTTCTTAATTCCATTGCTACTTTGTACAGCTTACTCAAAATTCAAGTAGCATCACTGAATCCACCCCCAGTGTTAGTGACTGTCTAAACAGTTATATAATGCATGTACATTACATTCATTTCTATTCAGTTGCTGTGTGAAAGAAATTACCTATCATTCCATATTTTTTTGATATATTATAATATTTGCTAAATAATAATTTGCTCATTCCTCAGTGTAATTTTAGGTGTTCATATATACCTGGTATTCTGAATTATAGCTTTTGGCAGAAATTTTTACCTGAATCCAGTTTTCCAAATGTCAACTCATCTTATTTACTAGAAGAAAATCGATACTTTATTCTAACAAATTATCATTTCTAATTTACTATAATTAATTAATTTATTCCCATTTATCTGAATCTAGCACACACTCAGCATTCAGCACATAAATTCCCACTCTAGTGGAACAAAAAGCAAGTTCCACCGGCTAGTACACCCTTCAACAGCATAGTGTAGATTAGGGTGTCTAAAGAAAGTATATGCATATATGTACCTGATTTGACATAGGAGCAAAAATGTTGTGTGAGGCCTTTGACTGGACGTCGTGAGCCTCAACTTGAGCTTCTGTCTTGCATGGCAAAGAAGGGAGATGTTTAGCTGAAGAGGCCTGGGGAGAAGTGGAGGACAAGGTTGATGAGGCAGCTGTGATGTGTGCATTTGATTAGAAAGGTAATAATATGCAACTCAGGATGGGAAGGGAAGTCTTTCTCTACAATTCAGAAAGGGAAGTCCTCATAGACTTCCCTGCAAGTTCCAATTTCCAGCACATGAATGTGATAGCATCAAAAATACTGGCTGTGAAATGTTTTCTCATATCAATTTTTTATAGTGCAAATAATTCATTAACCAGTTTTCAAGTCAAAACAAATACTATACATAACAAGAGTGACAATTTCAGAATCAAGTGCACAATATTAATTGATTTTTGTATGATCAAACTGGCATTCATTAATGTTGTAGACACGTCTCTATTAGCAATGAAGTGACGATGCATTACTTTAATTAAAAACTTATATCAATTGATATGAATGATCTCCCATACTATTGGAGAACATTCCAATACTATGAATGTTTTCCAATAGAAGCAAGAAGGAAGTATTTGAACAAGAAAATTTTTGATGTATTGCTGATTCCTGTCAATAGAGGACATCATTTATCTTTTAATTTTAATACAGACAACTATGAGAGAAAATTTTTGAATTTGGATTTAGAACAGCAAACCTGAAGCAAGTAACTAGGAGTAAAATTTCCCATAACTTCTAACCAATTATTGAATAAAAATGAGGGTACTTCAAATATAATTATTATTGCTCACTATTTCAAACTTGATACTGAGTTAAGATTTGCCTCCTGATGCTGAACTTGAAAATTTTAATATGGAAATAGCATTTTGTCAATTTTTTCATGAAAATCTAAGCAGGATTTTTGTATGCTGTTCTAAACATTTAATTGCACATCAATTCCACCTACCTCATTTCCATATCCGAATGGTTCCTCTTTGATAGATACTTCTTCAGTTTCATTCTCAGGTTCCTCCTTGATGTAGATAGCAGAAAATTTGAGGACTGGTGGAGGGTCAACATTTTCCAAGGCTGGAAAATATTTACATTGGTGTGCTGGTACCACTGAGTTAAAGAACAAGATATCTCACAGTATATATAATGATCACCAAATTAATAAGTCATATGAGCTTTAGATAAAAAGTCTACATCTCTCAGATGAGAGAGACTAATGAGGCAGCATATTTTAATGCAATGTTATCAGGCCTGTTTTTAAAACTGCTAAGAAATAATAGGAGATCAGAATTGAATTGGATAAATTGACACAACCTCAGTTCCTCCTCTGGGTATCACAAATTGATTAGCAAGGCACATGGAATCTGGCTTACCTTCAGACTTTACTTTGCTTCCGCCAGGAGATGTTTGAGTGAGGCTCTGCTTATGGCATCTGCCCCTCCTGACTGCAGCATCAGACAGTTGGTGCAGCACAACACTGCATTTTTTGGTAATGGGCACCATCACTAAATGTGATAATAATTATGAATCACTGAGGCTGAAATTATTGATCAATAATGTTGGCAGATGCAGACACATGGTTTTTAATAGTGATCAAATCACACATGTGCTACTGTGATGTTACATTCACTTGAGCATGTGAAATTAAAATATAAATGCTAGACCTACAAAAATGCAGCAGGCCTAACCATCAGGCACACCATCACGAGCTCAGTGCTGTTGAGCACTAGCCACATACAATTTTTCCATTAGGTACTGTCAACCGAGGCTACTCGGGACAATTTTGAACGTTTTTCATTCATAACTTCTTACCATGAAACATTTCATAAACAAGTTTAGGCTCATTTCAAAGCTCTTTGCAAGGGCTATCACATGGCTTCTCCAAAAAAATTCCAAATGCTATTTGTAAGGTGCCAGAAGCAAAAAAAAAAGAGTGTCCCAAGTAGCCCCGTCAAACAGGGCTACTCGGGACACTTGGAAAAAACTTCATTTTAAAACATTTGAAGCAAGCAGAGTGTACTCATCTATTACTAACAGTACTCTGAAGTCCTCCTCTTTCATTGTATATGATGTAGAGGTAGAATAAATGACATTTTCTGTGATTTTTAATTGTTTTTCCTTCATTGATATATTACCATATACATTAATTACCGTATTATTGATGCGATATTACCGTATCCATGAACATGCCATTGAGCATTCACAACAACCTTGTCCACTGCAAGCTTCATATCAGCAGCCTTATAGCATTTTTTCTGTATCTGTAAGCTTACAGGACGGCTTGTAATTTCACACCATTTTAATTGGGTTAAGTGAATATACTATTAAAAAATATAACTCAGTACTCACTGCAGTGAGTGACAGAGAGCGCATTTTCTCGTCAACGAAAACTTGAGGTCACGGACAGACAAACAGACAGACGAACATGGCAAGCACAATAGTGCATTTTTTCCATAAGTGAGAAAACGCGCTAAAAAGATTGTGAAAAACATACCTGATACAGAAAGGAATGTTTTAGTGACAACCATCATATGTTTTGGAGAAATAAATCATAGTTTAGGTCAATTACTTTTCATTCTATGATGCCTGGTTCACAATTCTATATATGACATTCTATGCACAATTTTGTGATGACCAATGATGCACTAATTTTTCGATAAGTAAAATTTTTCGCTGAGCAAGGTAAATGCAATCAATATTCTTTGTTTTTAATCTATTTTTTTCTCAACTGGAGCCTTTGCTAACTGAGGTTCTACTGTAAATGCGTTTTTAGGGGTGTCCCAAATAGCCCCAGGGGGGGGGGGGTATCCTGAGTACCGTAAAATGGGGTAACTTTGACCGCTTTTTTATTTCGAAACAATGCCATTTTTTTACTAGATAAGTTAAACTTAAATTGAAACATGCAAAATACAGGTCTATACTCTAGCTTTACTCACCATAAATTGCTGGCTCCTGCCTCTCATAGTTTTTATGTAATTTCAAAAAAAGTGATGGTCTTTGTTACCCCAGCTCTTGGGGTTTCATAATTGGTGTATCAAACATAAAATATGTTATATAGGTACCTATGGTAATTTTAATTCAATTTCCAAGCCGGTCAATGTTACCCCGTCACAGCTGCCATCAGGTGGTCAAAGTTCCCCCATTGGGGGGCGGCGCCCCCCATTTACAAACTATGACACTTTCCTAAAATTTGTCTTTTGCATATGTAACTAGAAGAGTTCTACTACAATGCATCAAAACCTGGAGTTATTTTACCAGAAAATAAAAAAAATTGGAGGTACTCTGACACACTTCAAATAATAGCTCTTTTACGTGGGTCACATTATTAATTTTATACCTATTAGATATGCAAACTTTTTAAATCTTTCTATTGTGTTATGTAGCCTCAGTATTAGGCCTTTGATGGCCATTGACAAAATTTTTCTATGTCAAATTGTTTTTGAGTTTTGGGGGTTTTTGTTGAAAAAACGAAAAGTGGTCAAAGTTACCCCGCCGGTCAAAGTAACCCCATTTTACAGTATCCCCACCGTGCGGAAATGGCCGGCATTTTTTTTTTATTGAGGTATGTAAATTCCGCAAATAAAGTTTTCATGCAACACTTGTCTACCAATCTTTTCTAAGTGAAATTTTTTAATATGGCAAATATTTTTTTACTACAGACCTTAGGAGAAGTAACTTTTCAAAATATTGTTTTTCACCATTTTTTCAGGAATTTTTCAAAGCTAGTAAATGTATTATTTTTGAACTTCCTTTATACTACATAGATAGGAAAAATGTTGACGTTTATGCCACTATATTTAGTTTTGCAATATTCCAATTAGGTTTGCTACTAAAACAGTTTATGCCATGTCTGAGGACTGTCCCGAGTTACCCCGCCCGTCCCAAGTAGCCCTGGTTGATGGTACACCTGAAATTGTTTTCTAGAATGTTCTTGTATCTTTTATTCTGTCACTAATTGTGTCAATAGTAGAGTGTTTAGTATCAAGTGAAGGCATGAATGTGACAATGCTGTATCACAGCATATTAACAATTAATTACAAATATTGTTGGTTCTTTGTCTAGAGTGAGGGAGGCCGTCTTAAAGAATGCCACAACAGAGCAAGGGTCGCTGTCAACCATCATTCATTCAATCATTCAATAGAGTCAAAGGCTGATTCAAATAATATGACATTGTATTGTTTCTACCATTGTAGTGTTATGAAAGACAAGGGCCTATGTTTTTGTGTTGCTAAAGTGATGTATGATGGAAGTTTGCCCAAGAAGTTGTCATTAAATATTCTTCTGTGAGCTCATTATTTGACCACCTGAGAAGGCAAACCCCACCTTGACATTCAAACAAGGCCTACCCTGTGATTGGTGACTGTTGAGAATTGCACATCTGATGAGGATGTTGCAGAAAACCTTCAAAAGTATGCCTGGAGAGAAACCGATTTGAAAGAGAATGTTTCAACTGTGCCTGATATAATTTATTAGCGTTTTAATGTAATTCATTAATTTGATATGATTTCATTATTTTTGCAAGCATCATATATATGTTACTGTATTAGTCAGAGTTACTGTATTAGTCAGTTACTGTATTATCAGAGAATGAAAAGTAATTAACCTATATTATGATTTATTTCTCCTTAACATATGATGGTTGTTTCTATAACATTCCTTTCTGTTTCAGGTATGTTTTTTAACAATCTTTTCTATAGTTAATTAACTAGACCCAATTAAAATGGTGTGAAATTACAAGCCATCCTGTAAGATTACAGATACAGAATAAATGCTATACGGCTGCTGATATGAAGCTTGCAGTGGACAACGTCATTGTAAAGGCTCAATGGCATGTTCATGGATATGGTAATATCACATCAGTAATACAGTAATGAATGAATATGGTGATATCATATCAATAAAGGATAAACAAGCAAAATACACAGAAAATGTCATTTATTCTACATCTACATCATCTACAATGAATTTATGAAAGAGAAGGACTTCAGAGTACTGTTAGTAATAGATGAGTACACTCGGCATGCTTCAAACATTTTGAAATCTAGTTTTAGTTCAATTGTCCCAGATTATCCTGTTCCCAGGGGTAATTTGGGACAGTTTTATTTTGCATCTGGCCCCTTACAAATGACATATGGACATTTTTTGAAGATGCCATTCGATAGCCCACACAAAGAGCTATAAAATGAGCCTAAACTTGTTTATGAAATGTTTCATGGTAAGAAGTAATTAACAAAAATATAACTCAGTACTCACTGGCAGGGAGGCATTGCCAACACGGCATTGGATTTCAAAACAAGCGCAATTTCAGAAGCGCGGCAGTTTCTAATGAGCTCAGTGTATCAATTTTCACTGCAGTGGAAGGTAGTGTACCGTCAAATGCGATAAAAAGGAACGGGCGGGGTAAATTGGGACACGCGTCCCACATTTCATAGAAATATTGTAGCAGCTAAACTAATCAAAATATCGCAAAACTAAAAATAGTGGCATAAACTTCAACATTTTAAATATCTATTATATATAAAGCTAGTCAAGAAATCAAACATTTACTATCTCTAACAAATTGCTGCAAAAAAAGTGTGAAAAGTGCGATTTTGGAAAAGTACCTCTGCTAAGGTCTGGATTAAAAAAAATATTCGCAGTATTAAAAATTTTACTTACATAAAAGTTGCACCCAGGTGTCTGCTTGAAAACGTAATTGACAGAATTTGCCTATCTCATTCAAAAAAAAAAAATGGCAGCCATTTCCGCGTGACAGGGTAAAAAGGGACAACCCCCCGGGGTAATTTGGGACACCCTTAAAAATGCATTTACAGTAGAACCTCAGTTAGCAAAGGCTCCAGTTAAGTAATTGACCTAAATTACGATTTATTTCTCCAAAA